ACGTCCTCCACAACTAGACTGAAGAACAAAAGGACAGCAACTTGTCTGTTCCCCTTCCCCGATTCCCCAATAAAATCTTAAAAAAGAAAAGTGAGATACATGTACATTTTAGAAGCAGTTTTTAGATGCTTGGGTATAGCCATGGATGGATCTGAATTCAGTTGGATTGGGACCTTTACCAGACAAACTATGAAGGGAGTTAAAGGTATTTGTAAAGACATAGTTGTGATCATGGAAAGTAAAATCAGGAGGGGGAGTAAGTACATCAAGATTGGATAATGAGGAAGTAGTAGGGCATTTTTGAGCCTCATTGACATTGAAGACAATTGGCCAGAGTAGATGAGCTAGAAGGATGAGAAATTGTAGGTACAAAGGAGGAGAGGATGCTTAAGATACAGATTTAGGAGTAATGCAGTCAACGGTGATTAACAGTGTCAAGAGTATGACCGTAGATGGGTAGCTGAGGTGGGGAAGGATAATATTAGAAGCAAGGATTTTGAGGAAGTCAGAATCAAAAGTGAATGGTCTATGTGGATGTTGAAATAGCCAGGAGTAAGTTGGTAAAGAATCTAGCCATTAATGAATGAGAAGGGACTTGGAATTTCAAAAGTGTGGAGGGCTTCTATCCCCACTTCTTGGTCCTGAGGTACAACAAGTGAGGGAAAAATGGCTGCAGAAGAGTATGTATCAATCTGATGGGTACTGTGGTTCAGGAATGAAGTTGAAGAGATCATTCAAATGAGGTTGGTTATGAGAAGAATTTACTTATGTTAGACCATGGTTACTAGAGGACATAGTGAAATAACTAGTCGGGTGAGAAAGGTGGGAAATTAGATCAGATTAATCTATATAATGTGTGAGATTGACAGTCTGATAATAATACCTTGGTGACATAGGCAAACAGGTTGTGAGGTATGATGGCATTAATTTAAATTTTAATCACCTGTTGGAGGAGTCAGGTAGTCTGTTCAAGCTGGAAATAATAAGGCTGCTGGAAAATTGTCTTCCTGCAGCTAGGTAGCAAAGCTTTCCTTGGGGTAGGTGAGTTATTTATTTTTTTTACGTTATCCTGACTCCAAAGCTGTGGGACAGACCATCTCACCTGTAGCAGCCAGCCTCTTCTTGGCTGTATGGTATTATGAAAGCCTCACAGATTTTATTAGTCACTATCCTGGAGTGTTGTTAAGATTAAATGAGTGCTCAGCATGGTTTATGAAACTTAGTAAGGGTATGGAAATGTAGCTATTACCAAAATGAAAAACAACTTGTCTCATCTTCTGATATATTTGCAATTGGTTTGTGTATCTGGGGAAACAGGTAATACAGTGTACCGTTTAAGAACATTGGCTTTTTGAGTGAGACAAGCGTAGATTGGAATAATGGCTCCAGTACTTAACTATATGATCTTGAGTAAGCTTCTTAACGTTGGTTCTCAACCCTGCTACTGATCAGAATTACCCATTGGAGTTTTAAAAAATGTAGATTCCTCAAATCCATTCTTGAACATTCTTACTTAGGTCTGGGGTTGGGCCTTAGTTCCATGAGTGAAATTGAGTAATACTTAAATAACCTCATAGGGTTGTTGTGAAAGTCAAATGAGATGGTGTTTATAAATAGTTTCTCACAGTACTGGACACAAAGTAAATACTCAGATGGGTTTTTTAAAATGTGGTCAAATGAAGTAAAGACCTCAAGAACTGAACCTTTCTGATAAATGTTCACAAGGCTTTCATACTTAACCATAAAGACCCCATCTGGTAGAAGATTCATTCTAGTAGAGAGTGATTTAAACATTTGTTAAGCTGTTGCCATATATATATATATATATATATATATATATATATATATATATATATATATA